GAGAGAGAGAGAGAGAGAGACAGTTGCATGCTTTATGTCAAGCTCTGTGTTACCACTTATATACCTTGTTTAACTTAAGCATCACAAAAATTCTAGGCATGGTCAACCTCCCTGAACAGATGGAACAGTATGAATTCGTATCCCCAGTGAACAGATGAATGAGTGTAACCATGCTTAGAGAGTTTATTTAGATAAGTTGCCCGAGGATTCCTCTTAAGCAGATGGTAGAACTGAGATTTGAACCCAGGTCTGGTGGATCCCAAAAGCTTCCTCTTATCCTGTCTAGAACATTTCCTCTGATCTGTTATTACCTTTTATCTCTGCTCCCTAGCTGCTAAGATGGCACTTCAGCAAAATCTTCTACAGCCTAAACCCCATGATGTGTCACCTACCCCAAAACCAAGCCTCAAAAATGACCTGACAGACATGCCTCTCCCTGAGCAGTCTTGGCAGGAGAGACCACCTTTGGCACACTTAGGGAACCCGGCCCTTCTTATAGCGGCTTCCTACTGTACGTCGGAGAGCAGCTCAGCAAGACTGAGATACAGAGCCTTGATGAGCATGGAGATTGCAGCAGCTATTTACTTACAGAATTCGTTAACAATCAGTTCCAATTATCACACATAGTCAGGCTGCATGGAATTCAAATTGCTTTTGCACAAAGTAATTCAGTAACAAAAAAAAAGTTGAATAGAGGTTACTGGTATGCAAGAACATGCAGAGAATATGGTATACAGCCAAGCGGTGTATGATTCTTTTTAATTTTGTGACAATTTTAAGTGCTCATATATCATTTGAATCTAAGTGGTGTGCTACATTAAGCAACCATTTGGAGACACTGGGCTTGTACTGAGAGAAATTTATGGAGAAGCTAAACTGCCATTCATAAAGTTATTTTAATGCTATATCTCTGTTTATATTTTTATTTTTTTCATTCCTTAGTGGGAACTAGCTGTTGCTCATTAGAAAATCATCTGACATACACACATTTCAGAACCCAGTCTGTTCAATCCAGAATCCTGACATCTGAAGTGAGTCACAATTCTTCAGTGAATGTTACTGACATCTTCCATTTTTTATAGATGGCATGCTCACAATAATATCCCCAGATTCCTTCTTTTGTGGTGTTATTTGACATTGTACCCAAAGTATTATAAAGTAGCATAAGCTAAAAGGAGAAACACATAAAAAGTGGCATCACATCTTCTTCAGAGAAAACTTTTGGAATTAAAGAAGGAACACATGAAACTATATTTGGGATGTTATAGATAGGTCTTGATAATATTAACATAGAGAAAACAATTTTTTTCAACAAAAACCCACCAAAATTAGGACAACAATTAGAAACTCAACTGCATTTCTTAGGGGAAAACAATAAAGTGTATCTCAAAAGTCAGTTAAATAAAAAATTCACTTTTGGGCTAGAAGTAATTAGAGAACCAATGGCCATAAACATAAATAACAAAAAAATACAGACAGTTAATTATTTATTACCATTGAGCAAATGTTATTAATTTAATTCAATTAACATTTATTGAACATCCACATGTGATAGGTGAACCAGTGTGACAGAAACTATTAACTTATTTACTTTAAGTTATTAAGGAAACATTTTAATGATTTTCATTTTTGTTCAGTAAAGGTGACTTTGTAATATTTGCATCCATTCTCTGAGTGTGTGTGTGTGTGTGTGTGTGTGTGTGTNTATATATATATATATATATATATATATATATAGAGAGAGAGAGAGAGAGAGAGAGAGAGAGAGAGAGAGAGACAGTCCCAGTTTAGGGAAAAGAATGAGGGGCTTAGTAGAAAGAGACATAATAATTGTAAGGATTTTGCTGTAGGTCAAAGAAACCCAATAGTTAGTTACAAGTGTGAGACTGAAATACACACACACACACACACACACACACACACACACACACTCCAATTAAGAATAAGTAGTATCTCTCTTCTCTGGCTCCTCTAATTCTATTCCTGTTAATCTCCGCTTCTCTCCCCTCCCCCCTTCCTCTCCCCTCCCCTCTCCTCTCCTCCCCATATTCTTTCTCACTCTCTTTTGGTTTAATTATTTCACTAACCTGCCCTGTCTCTATTATTGGTTCCCTTTTCTTCCCCTCCGGCTCTCCAATATATTTATTCCTCAAAACTTTGTCCTCTTAGTTTATTTCTTTGGACCCTACCCTTCAAGATTATATTGTCCATACTCACAACTTCATTATTTTCTTTGTGACCTTGGCCCCCGAATCTTAATGCAGTGTGTCAGCCAGCCAGCCGGCCACCTGTACTGAGCATGAGCTGTGCGCCTGGCCCTGTGCTGAGTGCTGGGGAAACTGAGTAAGAATAACGAATAACCTTGGTTCTCACAAGGCCCACAGTCAACACAGATTTCAGTCTCACACTTGTAATTCACTAGTGGATATTTTATTTGACGTACCAGCCAAATCCTCACAATTATTATGTCTCTTCCTACTAAGCCCCTCATTCTTTTCCCCAAAATGGATAACTCTGTATATCACTGAAGAGGTCACAACTCAATTTCTTTTCAGTTTTCCATTTCCTAAGCTTAAAAATACTCTTTGATTTGTCCCATCCCTCCAACCATTTACTTACAAGTTCTTATTTATCCTTCCTTCTGAATATCTCCCAAGTTCAACTCTGCATTTTCATTGCTAAAACCACCCCTCAGGTTTAATCATCTGTG